AAAATAATGATTAGTTTAATACATGACAATAATAATTATAATAAAATTTATTAATGATATCAGTAACAAAATTAATATTTATACAAATTTAATAATACAAACTCATTTCGAAAAAAATATATATAAACTTAATTGTCATAATATGAAATTGATCATTAAATAAATGAAGCAAATACGAATTAGATAACATAGACTGGACAAAGGGGATAAAAAATAATAATAACAACTATAAAAATACAGTGTTGTGGATTAGGACTGTGCTAGTCGAAATTTGGTGTGAAGTAATTAGAAGAAAAAAGGGCGAATGGCAAAAAAACCCATCACATGGGACTTAAATGCATTTTGGTCCACAAAAAAAACAGTCTTTCAATTAAACTCATCCCATGTTTTTAGTCTAAACTACCCTCCATAATATAATTCTTATCAATTTCACCCATTATGCTCTAACTTCTTTAATATTACACATTGACCCCGGATTTAAACAAATATATCACATTAACCCCCAAATTTTTTTTTTCAGAAAATAATTTTTTTTCTGAAATGTTTTTTTCCCGACCAGATTCCGGCGTTGACCGCCGGTCAACGGCGGCGACCGGCGGTCTCCGGTGGTGGCGGGTCAAAATTGGGGTCAAAATTGAAATTAGGGTTAAAATTGGTTAATTGAGGAAATTGGGCTAAATTGGGGTGTAAATCATGAAATTGGAGTTGAATTGAGTTTCAATGCATTGGGGGTAATTTTGGTATATATAAAAAGATTTTCCGTATTTGCAAATAAGTTTAAATGGGCTGGATTTATTTGAAAGACAAAAAAGTTGAATGTCCCTCTTTTAATTAAGTGCCCTTGTCATGGACCTATTTGCAATTTACCCAAGAAAAAATATGCATGATACTTAAAAAACAACTACCAATAAAAAAAATATATATAATACAAGTCATGGCCAAGTCCACGGAACGAATAGTTTAGTTAAATGCGGACAAGATTATTCAACTATGAGACTAGTCAAAATTAATAACCTATTGTTGAGTAAAAGAAGGTACATACAACATATGCTTACAATCCATACACATAATCTTCTGCTACACATAGAATTTGATGGATTCCAATATCACCATTAGCGTTGCTCTTTGCTTCGCCGTCGTTGTAGCAGCAACGGCTTCTGCGGCCGATGATCGAGAATTGAAGGCATTGGTTGCGAGTGGTTGGTGGTCAAACTACACCAATAATTCCACAAAAATTCAATCTTTCGAATATTGCAAGTGGAAGGCCATAACTTGTGATGACGAGGGTCATGTTGTGGAGATAACCATGCGTGGATATGAATCATATGATGGTATCGACAACAATCATTTGCTTCTGGAGTTGGATCTACTTGCTTTCCACCGCATTGCTAGAATCGATCTCAGTGGAATGCGGCTCATCGTAGAGTTACCACCACAAATAGGTTCTCTATCCAATTTAACTTATCTCAATTTGTCCCGCAACCTTTTCATAGTCGATTTGCCTCTTTCGTTCTCAAATCTCACCAAATTAGAGTCACTCGACCTTTCTCATAGCCCCATTGGCGGTGCCATCCCATATGCAATCGGGAATCTTACGAGCTTGGTTTCTCTTGGTTTGAGCAACATCGATCTCCGAGGTAATCTGCCTCTTTTACTCACAAATCTCACCAAATTAGAGTCACTCGACATTTCATTTAACTATATTGAGGGTGCTATTCCACCCGAAATAGGAGATCTTACGAAGTTGGTTGCTCTTGATTTGAGCCACAACTATCGGATCAATGGCTCTTTGCCTTTTACTTTGGGTCGATTAACGAGATTGAAATCTTTACACTTGAGTGGTAACCAACTAGAAGGTATTTTGCCCATTTCACTCACAAATCTCACCAAATTAGAGATACTCAACATTTCATATAACTCCATTGGCGGTGCCATCCCATTCGGAATAGGAAATCTTACGAGCTTGGTTTCTCTTGATTTGAGCAACAACCGGCTCCAAAGTAATTTGCCTCTTTCACTAGCAAATCTCACCAAATTAGAGTCACTCGACATTTCTCATAATTCCATTGGTGGTGCCATTCCATCCGGAATAGGAAATCTTACGAGCCTGGTTTCTCTTGATTTGAGCAACAACCGGCTCCAAAGTAATTTGCCTCTTTCACTAGCAAATCTCACCAAATTAGAGTCACTCGACATTTCTCATAATTCCATTGGTGGTGCCATTCCATCCGGAATAGGAAATCTTACGAGCCTGGTTTCTCTTGATTTGAGCCACAACTATCGGATCAACTGCTCTTTGCCTTCAACTTTGGGCCGATTGACAAGATTGGAATCTTTGAGATTGAGCCATAATCAGCTGAAAGGTTTCTTTGAAGCAGGGATTGCAAAACTTCCTTCAATCAAAATGATCGACGTATCATATAATCAAATTTTCGAACAGATACCCTTTGAGTTTGGATATTATGCTAATGCACATTCGCTGAATATCGATCTTTCCCACAACAACCTCTACGGTACAATCCCTAAATCTCTTTCCAATTTGAGAAACATCGACTTATCCTACAATGATTTAGAAGGTCGAATTCCAATTGGGGTTTGGTATGCGTTTCCAAAAGGCTCATTTCTTGGTAACGACCGATTACTTCTCCCTGGAGACTCCACAACACATGTATTAGATACGAGTGTAATACTCCCACTTGCTCTTTTCTTTGCCTGCCTCTTTTCCGCTATGTTCATCATATTCATCTACTACTACTTCAAAGGAAAGAAGACAACCTCAGTGAAGCCCGATCTCAAACACGGAGACATTTTCAAAATATGGAATTACGACGGTACGATCGCATACGAAGACATCATCGAAGCAACACAAGATTTCGACTTTACACACTGCATCGGAACCGGAGGCTACGGCAGTGTCTACAGAGCACAACTGCCAACGGGGAAAATCGTTGCGGTCAAAAAGCTCCACAGATTCGAAGGAGAGAATCCAACTTTTGACGCGTGTTTTAGGAATGAGGCCAAAGTTCTGTCCGAAATACGACACCGGAACATAGTGAAGCTTTTCGGGTTTTGCCTACACAAGCGCTGCATGTTTCTCATCTACGAATACATGGAAATGGGCAGCCTATTTTGCGTCTTGAGGGACTCAAACGAAGCTGTAGAGCTAAATTGGGCGAAGAGAGTAAATATAGTGGAGGGAATTGCACGCGCTCTTTCTTACATGCATCACGATTGTAGCCCACCAATTTTGCACAGGGACATCTCCACAAGCAACGTACTTCTCAATTCGAAGCTCGAAGCTTCTGTGTCTGATTTCGGCACCGCTAGATTGTTGGATCCCGATTCTTCCAATCAGACTCTAATTGTGGGCACTCACGGCTACATTGCACCAGGTATACAAATATTAAATATATATACCTAAGAAAAATCAATTAATTTATTTCTATTGGGATTTAATTGGAAAGTTAAATCTTTTAAATTTATTTTGGCAGAATTAGCCTATACCATGGCTGTTACGGAAAAATGCGATGTCTACAGCTTCGGGGTGGTGGCATTGGAAACCATGTTTGGGAGTCATCCGGGGGATTTTCTTGCATCCGTGTTCATGTCCAAATTACAATTTCCGCAAAACTTGTTGCTAAAGGAGTTGTTGGATAAGAGGCTACCGGCTCCCGATGACGAAGATCTAAAGGCGGCAAGAGATGTGGTTCGTGTAGTGAGAATAGCACTAACATGTGTGAGTTCAGACCCAAAGTCTCGACCGTCGATGAGTCGAGTTTGTGACCAACTTGATGTCCGCGGGCCACCACTTCCCATGCCGTTACGCAGCATATCTATCTCGCACCTCATGCATAGTTAGTGAGTTATTTTGAAAAGAAACTCGATATTATAATTCAGAGTAATTAATTTTACCAAAATATCATAGCATATTCGGCCAAATTTTTACTCGACTGCACAAATTGTCAGCTTAATAGCATGTGCTAATCTATATAAATGTTACAAATAATGAAGTTACAAATTTCAATATGTTGTTATTATGCTTTCACGTAAAATAATGAAGTTATTTGAATTAGTTATGTTTTTTTTTTCTTTTTAATTTTAAATATACTTTCTAAATGGCCTACAAACAAGATTTGTACCATTAACCAAATAGCACCATCTGCACCCCAATACCATTTAAGTGGTGTTTGTTTGTAAAAGCTAATTTAGGTTGTGTTTGCAAAAGCTTTTTTAAAAACAGAAGTTGAGTTAAGTTGGTTTTAAGTGCTTATTTTTAAATTTGGGGGTTTGCAAATTTACCGGAAATAAATTTAAATAGAAATAGTAGGGTCGTAGGTGCGTAATAAATTATAGCTTAAAATTAATTACTTTAAGAGAAACAAAAGCAAAAGTTCATTTTGTAGACACTTAAAAATAGATTATGAGCAAAAAAAGTTCATAATTTATTTGTAAAAGGTTTTGCAAACACCACCTTAAAAGCAGAAGTTAGCGACTGAGTTAAGTTGATATGAAGTGTTTATTTCTAAAAGTTTGGGGTGTTTGTGTAGTAGTTAAAAGATCAATTAAAATAGAAAAAACCGATATATGGGTGTTTTTTAAATTATAGCTTAAAACAACTTATTTTAAGGGAACTAAAAACAAAAGCTCGTTCTGCAAACACCTTAAACATATTATGTGCAGAAAAAACCTCATAATCTATTTTTAAAAGCTTTTGCAAACACAACCTTAATAAATAACAATTAATTATGTTTTTATGCTAACTATATTTGATTGAAAATAAAAATATATATATTTTTATAATAACATTTTTCTGCATATAAATACGTGTAATATGATTATATTTTGAAAATGTTTCTAGTTGATTAATAAAAAAGTATGTAGTGAAAATATAAATAATTGTTAGTCAAAAAAAAGTATATAAATATAAATAATTGCCGACCTATGACGAAAATGAAAATTAAATAAAAGAAATACTTTGAAAAGTAAAATCAAGCGGGGTACACAATAACACAAACGTACACAATAACAAATTGGCTTCACTATTGGTCAAAATCCCTTTTGACCGTTTTACCCTTCCCCCACCACCCCCAACCCCCCCATTTGCGAATCCTTATACCAACAACAAAGAAATATCAATTGTGTCGAACAATTCCCTTTTTATTAATTTTTTTTTTCAAAAAAATCAATTCATCGAGAAATTAAGAAAAGCTGAACGTGTGATCGATACAAGTCGAAGAAATTTGGGAATCGGAGAAATGGCGAATTTGTATGTGCAGGCGGTGCCGACGACGGATCTGAATCGGAATACGGAGTGGTTCACTTACCCCGGCGTATGGACTATTTACATCCTTATACTCATGTTTTCATGGCTGGTCTTCGTCTCCGTTTTCGGCTGCTCTGCAGGGATGGCGTGGACCGTCGTTCATCTCGCCCATTCTATCGTACGTTCTCTTCATTTTTTTTTTAATTGTTGATTTTTTTCTCTCTCTTAATGCATGTATCGTGCTGTATGTAAATTCAATGATTGTGTTGTTAATCGTTTGGGAAAAAATTCAATTAGCTTTTGATTGGTATGATTTTGTTGACCATATTCAGTTTTGTGCAATGATTGTGTTTTTTTCTCATTTAATTTGTTTTTGTTAGTTGAACAGGAATTAGGGTTACTGATTGCAGTATTTGAATTATAACGCAGAAGAATTTAATCAATTGAATTTCAGTTCTTTCATGCCAAATCAAAATACTCCCTAGGGTTTCAAAAAAATTTGATTGCATTTTCATGAATTGATTATGAGAATTTAGTTTTGTGATCTGTTAACTGATGGTAGTGAAACTGTGTGTAAAGATCATGGTTTTGAGGAACCACGTTTCGCAGAAACGTATGTAAGAGAGATTATGTTGAAGTAGAAATCAGTGTTGAAAAGTTTATCTGCCTCCCAAGTGAATCGTCGCATGATTACTGTTGCGTCTTGCATATATGTTGAAAGAACTTGAGTATATCTTGGAGGAAAATGAGAGGTCTCTACTCGATGTTTTCCTACTCAATCGACAGTACATATCTACTCACTTTTTTCTTGCCTAAGAAATTGGCCTCCATTATATGTTTGTACAAAATTGACTCCGACTCAATGCTAAACGAATCTACACTTTTCGTCTCTAATTAAATGCAAGACTCTAACTAACATTTATTTACCTAGACGCTACGAGGCACTCACCTAGCTTTCATATTTACTTAACAACCTATGGCTGTGATCAAATCACAACATCAAGTATAGTTTCAGTCGAATATTTATGTTGTTTAGTAGATAAAATAGAAATGCACGTGCTCTCAAACTCGGAGAAGAAAGTTTTTAGTCTCCATGTTTAACTTTTGGCTGTTCGAACATTGCAATGACCTCCTTATGGGTGCACATGGCAAGTTTAGAATCTCTTTTACCAATTTTCTATGGATGAGGTAATTAAATATTTGGAAGTATGCATCTAATTTTACATAGTTCCTTTTCGAATTATTACATTAAAAGTGCACTAAAATGTCGACTTTCCGTTATAAAGTGCTTTTGTTGATGCAACTAGTTATACTTTCTAAAACCTGTTCAGGTCACATATCACTTCTTTCACTGGAAGAAGGGGACACCATTCTCAGATGATCAGGGTATCTACAATAGGTTGACATGGTGGGAGCAAATAGAAAATGGCAAGCAACTCACACGTAATAGGAAGTTTTTGACGCTCGTGCCTATAGTGCTGTAAGCCTTCTCTCCCTTTTCTTTTTCCGCATATTGGTGTTGATTAGTCGTAAATGATAAGTTTATGCTCAACATGGATCAGTTTGTGTTCCTTGTTAATGATATATGATTAGCTTGAAGTTGTGATTCTTCTCGATAGGCCTTTCTGGTTAAGCATTAAACTTAATGGTTGCATCAAAGTGTTTAGCTCCTTAAAACTCGAGTTTCATCTCATGGGACAAATAGGAGAAGCAGCTTTAAAGGGGATGATAACATTATTCTTACATTTCTTTTTCTGTTTTACTTTCTTAAACCAGCTGATTACATTTAAATCCCGAAAGTTGTTCTGTTCTCCTTGTTTTTCCCTTTAGGATTTACGATACCCATTTAAAAAAAAAATTATGTTTTCTCTACCACCTTTAATGACACATAGAGTCCTTCTCTCCCTGTATTCAATTGCAAACATTCGTTAAGAGATTATATCTCCTTAGAGTAATCAATATATGAGCGATGAGATTATTTTAGCCTAAAGGCAAGCACTCTGAGAATTGTAGGCAATTTTGTTTTACTTCAAGATCTTGTTTGCAGACTACAGTAGCCTTAACTGGCCCGTGACATGGTTGAGTTAGTGGATAATTGAGTATTTCCCATGTAATGATTTGTTTGTAAACAATTGTATCTATGAATGTGATACACCTATTTAATCATCATTCTATTTCTAATTCATTAACGTCACATAAATTAAATGAAGTTTGCTTATAAACATTTTTTCCTTGGACCGAGCTGAATCTAAATATGATTGAGCTGTCAGTAAACTTTATGTGCTTGTGATATTTTTGTCGATTATCATTAGACTTGTCCATATATTTTACGGATGACCATTATGTGCATATCCCATTTTCCTTTTCACTTTAAATTGACCTCTTACAAACACATTTACTAGTTATTTCACTGGCTTGTCTTTCTCATTGTTATTATCTTCCGTTAACCTTCTCTATACATTTGTTTTGTACAATTTGTGAACCACAATATGCACGCCGTTCTTGTTCTAGAAAATTTCGAGTTTCAATGGCATGTAATCAATTCTCCTTACCAAAACACAATATATTTGAACGGAGTTTACCAGTGTGTCATTCTGGGATCTCACTTTGTTATTCAAATCCAATATACTATCATGTTCAAACTGAACTAGTTTGACATGGCCTGTAACTAAATTACATTTTCTCGTTCCTTTTTCATGAAAAATTAATTGATCGTATTTAGAAATTAAAATATGGCTTATAAGTATGTAAATTTATTGATATGTTCGGAGGAACATGGCCTGTAATGGTCATCATCTTTGTGCAACGTTTATTAAAATGTGAAACATCTAAGCATGCAAGTTTATGTTTTGAAGATCCGCTGAAGTTGCAAATGTGATGCTACATACATTTATATGCCTGTACCGTTAGAAGTGTGTTTTCGGGTTGTGTTAGCTGACTTTTCAATTTCCTTTTATTTTATCCGATTTTAGTGTCCACTTAACCTCCTCCGTCAATTTGGTCAACTATATCCTACTATTCAATCCTTATATGTGCACATCAATTATTTATTTTCTTCCATTAAGGTATTTAATTTTGTTAATCGTATTGACTTCCCCGTAATGTCAACTTGTAAGGATGCCTTTCTCAGTTTTTTTCTCTACCTCTCCTTTTCTTCTTGTCATTGTCCAAAAGTCTGAATAGATGCTTTATTCCTTCTTTTTCTAGTGCCTTTCTCACTTGAGCTTGTAGTGGTTTATATTTGTTCGGTTATGAACAAATGGCAGGTCAAACGAATCCTGTTTTGATGGAACAGTAGTCGGTTTTTTTATTTATTTTTTTATTTTTTATTAATTAAAGACGAATCTCTAGTAATTATTTTTGTACATAGATAAATCGATTCACCCTTATAACTAATCCATTTTTTCTGTTTTCGCAGATACTTGATAGCCTCACACACAACCGACTATCAACATCCCATGCTATTCTTCAATACACTAGCAGTTTTCATTCTGGTGGTTGCCAAATTTCCAAATATGCATAAAGTCCGCATATTTGGAATTAATGCCGATCAATGATTTTCTAGGTTCGTTTTAGCAATTCCGTTTGCAGATTCATCTTTTATCTCCAATTGTATCTTCTTCATCAATGCAGCTAGCTGTTCAAAATATTGCGATTTTTTTTTAATTTGATGTGGAAACTAATAGAGGATATATAATACCACTGTCGAAAGTATTTAGTGCCAAAACCTCTCAGAAGCTCGATATTCTCTGTTTTGAAGTTCATTATTTCAAATTTGTGAAGTTCTGCGTGATCAATGCAATATTCTTTTGTTTCATTTTTTTCCGGCCCAGATGTTCGGGACAATATAATCTTGATTTGATTATGATTAAATTTGTGGCCCTGCTTTTGTCGGAGAATATTTGTGGTTGCAAATGTTATGTTAAACGTAGTTATGAGTTTCGATTTTAAGAATGGAAACTCGCATATATATAAACGTAATAACGAGGTGTTTGGATTTTCGTAGACGTAAGAATGTGGGGTTTGGGAAAGAGGGGAGATATGAAGAATCTGGTATCTGTTAGTTGTTAAGAGTGGGTGTATACCAAATTACCATACCTTATTCCCAGCACATGGAGAGCAGTTGTATTGTCTTGTTACATTTACTGGCTGTTTAAATTCCAGAAACAAAAGAACGTGCACTCAGAATTCACTATACGATAAAAATGTACGGCTCCCCCTCTCTCTCTCTCTCTCACACACACACACACACACACACAAACAACACAACAACAAAGAGAGACAAACTAATGATTCTGTAAGTATTGATGTGCATTGTCCCAAAAATGGTGACCTAATTGATGGAATAAGGGTCCGGTTTCATTTTAAGTTATCTTATCAATATGTTTTAGGTTGGATTTGTGAAATATGGTTATTCTAATGTGTTTTACATTTTTCGTACATTTATAAAGTTGTTTGCACAAAAACAGAGCCAGATGTACAATGGTTCTAGGGTGTGCACTTGCACTCTGAAAATCTTATGCCGACAAATCCATACTCACTCTAAAAAATCTTGCGGCCCTCGGTTATGCATTATCTCACCGGTCTATAGTGGCGGAGCTAAATTGCAAACTCGTCCACTTTTTTTTTTTTTTTTTTTTTTTTGTCCTCATTTCGTTCCCTTTTTCTCCATCTTCAATAAAAAATAATTGGATAGTAACACCTTACAGATAGTTATGTTTAACTATCCAACAAAAATTATCTTTTTTTTTTTGGCTTTCCTTATTTTTATTCCCTTTTGGAATTCAACCCCGTGCATCGCACAAGAAAAACATTACTAGCATATATATATTCAAAATCCGACAAAAATATTTAATTTGAAGGAAAATATTCTCATTTGTGACCAATTAAAATTTACACATGTTTTTTTTAGAATACCACTAAGACTAAGGAGCCCTATTATCATTTCCAAATTCAACTATCCAACAAATCTACCACTAAAAATTGGAATAAAATATTGGATTAATAATATTGAACAGTGCAGCAGCTTTTATTTTGGTCCATATTATCCAATCGCCAAAACAGGAATTATTAGAAATCACATAAATGGCTATATATAAACCAGAAAAATGAGTCATACATGCATATATACATATATATCTATATATATGGTGGTGGGGTGGTGGTGGTGGTGGTGATGCTGCTGCACATTAGTTCTCGTGATTATGCCCCCACTTCACATAGTAGTGGGTTACAGCAAATAATAACTAATCAAATCCACATATATGTATGTATATAAAAAATATTGTTAAAATTAAAGAAATATAATAATAATATATATTGGGCACAGATGCCTAGGGGAATGTCTGTGGGACCCAGTGAATGAGCAAAAGTAGGTAGGGCTTCTCAGGTCTTTCTCAATCTTTCAAGTTGAAATAGTATTTATAGGAAACATGGCATGGCTTATCTCATCATCACCCTTTTTTTTATAAAATAAATTAATTAAATTCAATTAAAAATAAATAAAGTGATTGAATTGAATAGGTCTTTCTCACACTTCAGGTCTTGTTTGTATATATCAATAGTAGGTACAAAAAATGTTTTTTTTTTCATTTTTTTTTTATTTTTTAAGTTTGTTTTTATTTTATTTGAAGATGCATGTGTAGAAAATACTAATAGCTAAAAATTGGAGACACACAATCAGATTCTGACCTAAAAATTTGCTCCTTTTAAAATATAAATAAATAAATGTAGGTTTTGATATGAATTAGGGTATGAAAAACTACTACTACTATTTTTCTATATATCATCAAACTAGTTTGTATAGATGAAAATTATACATTTTAATTGCCAGCAGCCACTATATATAGATCTGATGGTTACTGAGATGCTACATCGTGTGAATTTGAATTATTGATGTGGTTAAATAACAATTCACTAAACATATATACACATTGATGTGTATGTGTATGTGATTATGTGCAGATTAACTGTTAATATTATAATAACATCCAATAAAACAACACATATATATGTATATATATCTCAAAATACAAATCCAGTCGTTTACATTATTAATAAATGACACTTAATTAACAGCTCTCTCTTTTTTTGCCCTTAAAAAATCCGGGCTTAATCAATCACTTCTTCGTCGATCTCCTCCGATCTATAATCGAGCTTCTAATTACTCCAACAATGACACGATCGAAGGTAATAAAACATAATTAAACCTTAAAAAAATAACCATAGATAAAACCCTAAATATATATAAGTTAGTTTTTTTTCTGATCACCATCCAAATTAAACAAGCACATATCACCCCCATCACAAGACATAATCCTCTTTAAAAAATAAAAATAAAAATTTATATAAATATAGATATAATTCTCATGGAATACTAAATAATAATATTGTGTACTAATTTAATTAATTTTCTTACCATGATCCTCCTCCACCTATAACTCCATTCCAATAACCAGTTGCGGCATGATGATCCGATCTGTTCGCATCGTTTGCGTTACTCGAGTCCCGATTCTTCAAAACTTCAAACGGGAACAGAACTTTCCCATTTTGCTCTTCCGCCCCCTGGAAACTTCCGTAGTTGCTCCCGAGCCCATCGATGGAGAAGTTGAGATCAGAAGACTTGAATTGACCAGCCGGCATCATCAAACTAGAAAACCCTAACGGCGAGTTATAGTTAACCGTGCTCGTAATAATCGGATCCGTAATAATACTATTATTACTCGTCACAACGGAAGACGGGAACGAAGAAGAAGAAGAAGAGCAAGGGTTGAGCTGCAGCTCCTTAATGTCGAAGCTCGGAACTCGTATCATTTCGTTTATCGTCTTGAAATCATTCATCGAGAATCCCAAGTTGAGATCTTGATTATTAATATTATTTTCAAGAATATCATGGATTTTGTTGAGATTAGGGTTTTGTGGTGGGATGACTAAATCTTGATTAGGGATTACTTTGATCTTGGAGTTTGATGAAGATGAAGATGAAGACGACGAGCGCTTGTTCTTGCGAGAACCGCCGCCCACCGGAATATTCCGGAGGGAACCGCCTTCGGTCCAGTACCTTCTGCATGTCTTGCAGAAATACCTAGGCTGTGACAGGCTGTAATTGTTGTAGTAGCAAAACTTTGTGTTGGTTGAATTGCATCTAGGGCAGTTTATTATTACTTTTTCTTTCTGTGCTTTTCTCTCCACCGTAGATTGTTTCGGGCATGTTGCTATGTCCTAATAATCATTTAAAAAAAAAATTAAATTAAAAAAGATCAAGAAGAAGATATAATATATATATATATACAAGAAAGTAAAGTAGTTAGCTGATTTAACACTTTCTCAAAGATGAGAAACAAACAGTAGAAAACAAGGGGGGAAGAGAACAAATAATAACAAGAATAATATATATAACAAATTTAATCTTTTTTGATAACAAAGTGAATTATCAAAAAGATTAAATAAAAGAAAGCTAGGCTGGAAATTAACAAAGGTGACAAAATTAAATGAAAAAAAAAATGAAAAGGTGTTTGTGTGTGATGAATCTGACCTGAGGCCATTGAGCAGAAGCAGTGTCCATTGAGGAAGAAGAGGGGAGAAAATTATAAAGTGTTTTGGCACAACTAAAAAGGGAGTTGCTTTCTTTACTAGTGGTTTTTTTTATAAAGCATCAAATATTGGAATTTTGGTTTGTGAACCAACCTTCTTCTCCTATAAGCTTTATTGCTTTATTAGAGAGAGAAAGAGATCTAGAGAGAGAGAGAGAGAGAGAAGAGAGAGATGTACATATATGTATGTGTGGATCTATGAGATGCTATGTAACACATCTGTTGGTTTTGTACCGTCGATTTATATAAATAACTATCTAGTAAATACACATACACATGGGTATGTGTTATTATCAGTGTTCTAAAAATCGGTCGAGGCGGCCGATTAATCGGTCTCCGAGGCGGAGGCGGCCCAAAACCTTTACGATTTTAGTGTAAAGGTTTGAAAAATCGGTTTTTTGCCTGTGAGGCGGTTTAAGGCGGTCTGAGTCGGTCCGAAGCGGTCTGAGGCGGTCAAACCTTTAAGGCGGATCAACTCGGTGGCAAAAATCGGTTACAAATCGGGTTTTTTTTATTTTTATTTATTTATTATTTATTTTTTTATTTTATAATTCAATATAAAAGTTGGATTTTAATAAAAGAAAATATGAGTTTATGCCTTATTTTGTTTATGTTAATTGTTATTGTTAAAGAATTAATGATGTATGCCACGAATGTTCAAGAATAAATGTAAATTCAAAAAAAATGTTTTTTTATTTATATTTTATAAGGATATTTATGTATTATGATCTTATGATTATTAAACTTTTATTATGTTATTAGGATATATACATGATGGAGATATAACTATGTTTAAATATCTTTTTACATATGTTCGGAGTATTTATAAATAATATTTAGAAATATATTATATTAAATTTAAAAAACCGATTTATTTCCGATTTATCACCGATTAATCACCGCCGCACCGATTAATCGTGAGTCGGTGCCTGACCGACTCGGACCCGATTACCGATTTTTACAACCTTGGTTATTATGTGTCGATTAATGGTTTAAGATCATCATCCAGTGTATTTAACCGGGTATATTAGTATCTACAAAACCGTGTTGTGTGTCAAGTACAACTCTTTTTTTTTTTTTTTTTTTTCATCCTGCATTTTCTCCTAGGAATAATTGATGTTCTTAATTTTTTTTGAATTTCAATGCTTGTTGAATTGTACCATTTTTCGTCAAATTATAACAAATGAACAACATCTTAATACGCGATTTTCAAAAGTTCATCCAACAACGTAACATCGTTTGTTATAACACACCACATTTAAAAATATCTCGGACAAATATTTATTTAACAAAATATAGCAAGTTTCTTCCAAAACTTAAAGGAAGTTCCAACAGCTATTGTAAAGCTTAACATCTGCTAGAATTGGATCCACCTCCACCGTAGTTTAGCCGTGCCACCTTTTTCGCGCCTGATCGAGTTTCTTGTGACAAAGTTCATCAACTTCACGTCAGAAAATGTTTTGACTTTTTTTGTTGTTGGTTGTATGTAATCACGAAACGGGAAATCGACATTAAAAAATGTTTTTTGATTTTAGGATTCTAATTTGTTGTAATTTATCATTTTCTGGGTTAGTTCAAGTGCAATGGGCATCTCATTGGGTGTGTCGCTCTGGTCTTGATTAATTGGTCGACTAACAATGTGTAGGAACATATCTTAAGCTAACAATCTCCCATCAGCAATTTATACCCAGCCGGCAAACAAACTCGAGACCCTTGGCTCCGATATCACTTGTAGTATTTCAGGCGCTACTTGTTGTTCTAAAAGTATTCGGTGTTAGGAAAAAACGCAAACCCTAGCCTTATCGTGCATTCATCACACACAAGCATCTACATCATTCAATTGTGGCCTACCCATACGTACCCACGCCTATCACATAGACAATTGCTGTCAGACATAGGCTCACAATTTCGTTTCTACATCGATGTTGTAAAAGCTCGTGTACACTATGTTTCTTTGGTTATAAATCGTTTCTACTTTCGACTTTGTTAGTTCAACACAATCAATTACAAGTTACTGATTTATTATTGTTAGTTTCGTATCTATTTTCTTCATTTATATATGTTTCATTATATTATACACATAGGAAAATTTACTACATGTCGAAGATGTTGATCAAATTTTGTTTGTGTATCATATTTTAGGTTTCTGTGAACGTAGACTCAGACCAACTATTTTGTTAAATCACAATAAATTTTACCTAAATGACAAACATTATCTAGCTAAATATGATTAATTACAATATAAATCATATCCAATTGGTAATAAATCAATCAAGCGAAAGTATAATAACTGATAGTAAACTTTACAATATAATGTTTAATTTCGATATTGCAATTGCAATTGTATGCGAGAGACTTTCACAAATTTGCTCATATTTTTGATATAGCAAATTATAAGAAACATATGAGGTAAGGTTTAATTACAAATAAATATCCATTTTTTTTCATAGTTACGAGCATATACCAAAATATTCTCCGTATAACGAATTTATTATGTGCCTCAGAGAGTTAACAATAACGAAATCAAATAAGATTCCATCGAATATTCATTTTGTAATGATCGGAATACCTTAGGAGAGTCTAATTATAAGCTTTGTAAAACAATTTCATTTTTCTAATTTCTTTTTAGTTTTTATTTTGTTTACTGTTAACTAGCTCTTTTGTGTGAGAAGTGTTTATTGTTCTGTAAGAGTGACTCCAACCCACAAATATCCAAATAAATTATCAAATATTTATTTGATATTTTATATTTTAGTTTGATACATAATTAAATTTATTTGCTCCAACTATAGATAACAAATAGTTGATAATTAAAAATAAATAATGTGATTTTATATTTTAATTAACACATGTCATTTTTTAAGTTGTGTAACTTCTAATTAACATTATTTCTTCCGTATGTATTTTTACATCCCAAAAATTAAAATATCAAAATAGAAACCCATTTGATGACTCCATTGGAGTGGAAAATTTCTAATTTGAATTATCAAAATGGTAGTTTATGATTTTGATAACCCATTTAATAGGGCTGGCAATCGGGCCGTGTGAGCCGAGCCTGGGTCGGCTCAAGCTCATATACCATCGGGCCTCATTATTATAGGCTCAAGCTCAAATACCATCGGGCCTCATGCCTATAGGCTCAAACTCGGCTCACGCATTTTTTCGGGCTTCGGGTTTATATCGGGCTTATATCGAGTAATAAACAAATTACATATTTTACAACTTTGCAGTCGACATATTAAAGAAAAACAAAAAAAAAACCTTCGCAGTCTAAGCGAAAAATCTAGACTATTCATTGAAAATCAAAATAAGCTTAAAAAATAAATAAATAAATAAAAAATCATAGTCTGTTCATTAAAACAAATAA